TATAATATAATATATATATATAATAATAATGTCATCAAAACACGCATATACATTACGCGGGGCCAGTCCAGTACCATCCTGGGCCCTGGTATATCCCACATGGGCTTCATAAAGTGGGACCAATATGGGTCTTATATATGTTGCCCAGTTGGGCCCCACATTAGCCCCAGTCAGACTCCATATGAGATTCATATGTGCTAATTCAGATAGGGCCCACATGGAACCCGTGGACAAACCCACATAGGGCCCATATTTAAAGCCCATATGGGGCCCACATTGGCCCCATGATAGAATGTTGGCTGGGTTTGTACATGGGCGATTTCGCTTATTAATACATTTAAACATTTTGCTTATTACTGTTGCCTCTAGTAATTCTGTGTGTGTGTGTGTGTGTGTGTGTTTTCATTTCCAATTTATTTTTGGTTCATTTTAAGCCAGCAAGAGTAATTTTCAAACAACCCAGCATGTTGGGTCAAACATTTAACGCAAACTAGCTGGGTTTGTCCATATTTAATCCAGCACTGGGTTGCCAACCCAAAGTGGGTTGTTTTTAAGCATTTTTAGAGTGCATGCCAAAAGAAAGAGTATGCTGTCGTATTTGATGCCCCAGGAAGTAATACATTTAGTAAGAGCTTATGGAAGTGATTCTTCTGAGGCAATATATGTTAAAGATAGCATGTTCCTAGGAGACGTTGATATTCTTAAACACAATCGTACTAATACGTATAGGAATATTATAACAGGTGATACAGGTCAAAAGCTTATTGTGGACCAGTGTATTTAGAATTGAAATAAAGCTTGGTGTGTTTGTGAAATATACTCTTTAAATGATCAAGTAAAAGAGGCTATATTTAAAATGTTTCATGGTATATGCAGCTAAAAGTGTGTTAGAGAGATTTAATCTGGATATTGTGTATTTAGAAATATAAATTGGAATAAAGCTTGGCGTGTTTGTGAAATATACTGTTTAAATAAAAGAGCGCAGCGCTGCATGAAGTCGAACAAATCTAATTGTACCACAACATGATCGCTGTACCACCTGACCACTGCAGATTCATTTCGCAGTTGATAGTGTCGCCATAGAAACACACAATCCTCTCGTAATTAGGCTACCTTAATTATTATGACATGGTGTGAACACCGCATTCAGCTCATCCAACCCCAATCTAACACACCCGAACAAGCTAATCAAGGTCTTCCAGTCAGATTACTAGAAAGCTACAGGCAGGTGAGTTTGATCAGGGTTGGAGTTGATCTGATCTCCTTGGATCTTTAAAACCCCATTATACAGAGGTTGATATTGCAGTAACAAGTTTATGTGTTTTAGTTTTGTGTGCTTCGCTGTCTGCTTTTCCTGACGCACCATTACAGTACATTTTTCAGCAGAGATCATTGTGAGATTGCAAGTTGGGAGAATGACAGCTCGAGTGTATTTCTCGTTAATTGCTGTTTTATCATGTCTGTTCGGATACTTGAGCATAACAGAAGCTACTCATGGACAAACCACAGGTGAGAAGATCTGTTGACTTCATTACGCAGCCTGAAGAAATGCAGAAATAAGTGACACTCGGTATTTGAAAGTAACTAACACCGTTTAGGAATAAGTAGTAGGTTTTTGAAACCCTTTTGATTGGAAGCAGATAAATGTCCAACTTGTATTAAGGTTTGAGACTCATTGCAAAACTCCTGATTTACAAATGCTGAAACCGCACTTCCTGGCCTCCCCTAATGATCCTCTCATTCTCTAGTACAGGGGTTCTCAAACCTCTTCAGGAAGTACCCCCTGCACTGCATGTTTTGTATGTCTCGTACCCCCAGCACTGCACGTTTTGTATGTCTCCCAATGTCTGACACACCCACTTCAGGTCATGCCGTCTCCACTAATGAGCTGATGAGTTGAATCAGGTGTGATAGATGAGGGAGACATACAAAATGTGCAGGGCTGGGGGTACTCCAGGACAGGTTTGAGAACCACTGCTCTAGTGGACGGTTACTGTCCGGCAAAGCTGATTGTTGTGCCGTCCCGTCGAGGATGTTCTTCTGATAGGGACTGCTCTGGAGAACAAATGCTGTCGATTTGACTGTGGGCCTGTTTCCAGTGAGTTTCAGTAAATGATGGATGCTAGGGGTCTTCCAAAAAAGTAACGCATTGAATTCAGTGAGTTTTAAGCAGAGACCGAAATGTTATGTGAAACGTTTTAATTTAAGTGAACGGAAATGTTCAGTGACTCTGTCATGTGTCTGTATAACAGCAAAGCCAGGAAAGTGTCCACCCCAATCATTAGGAAGAAGATCGTGTACCAGGTCCTGTGAGTCATTAGGAAGAAGATCGTGAACCAGGTCCTGTGAGTGACTCTAACTGTCCCAACAATGAGAAGTGCTGCAGTAATGGATGTGGACGTTACTGTACGGCTCCATATACAGGTATTTGTTCTTTTAGTCAGTTGTTTATGATAAATTTTTGCCTTTTTGTTGTTCTCGCCTAAAGTAGGTTTGAATTCATCCCTTAGGACAGTGGTTCTCCTTTCCAGTCCTCGCGTACCCCCGCTCTGCACATTTTGTATGTTTCTCTTATTGGTTCAGACGTTTGTTATATTTGACTGCAAGTGCCCTGCGAAGTGAACGTTACCGGATATTCCTCCATGATTCCAGTTTGAAGGGAACGTGTATGTTCCATACAAAGGGCATTTAAGTGTGCGAGACGTGGA